CATTTATCTTAAAAATTTGTGTCTAATTTCTAATTTTATACGCGACTTTTAACTACCGATTAATTATAAATAACTGAGATTGTTCGTTTAATTAAAACTAACAAGTAATAATTAACTATCCTTTATAAGATTAGATTATTACAGAAAAATATAACTTTCTTATAAGTTTATGTAATATACATAGTTCTAAGAAACTATATTTTTTAGAAACTCGTTTACGTAAATGCATAAACAGATCGAGATATACAATAGATATATCTATTTAACAAATATGAAACGTTTACTTATCGTACGCAATATTTCCATAAGATAGAGAAAAGGTTTTCATCGATAGTACACGATACTGATCAATGTTAAATAATATTCGAGTTTCTATTTGTTTTATATATATACATATATATACCTTATTTATATTATTATTTTTGTGGATATTTTGCGGATATGCTGTATCAAAGAGTGTCTCTTTTGAAAATTTTGAAAAATGTACAAAGGTGATATATTTCTCGTTTCCATTTACGTACTATATATCTGCCTTATAATATTCTCATCAAACGGAAAGGAAGGTCATTTTATTATCTACGTACTAACTTGATATTTCCGAAATTTACTTTTACTTCGACACTACGGTTTGTGCGATGAATATAATATATGTATGTTTTTTATTTTATAACAGACGAGCCCGGCTTACAATTTTTTGCGTTCCAAGGAAACATAAATAGGACTATTAAGTTGAATGAAATAGGACGAATATCGGGTGAAGTGTATAAGAAGAATAACGGAAAATGGATCATTCAAAATCGAAATATGGACTTAGCAAACGGAGATGTTATACATTATTGGACTTATGTACAAGTTAATGGGATAATGTATAACAAAGGAGAACAAACCTGGACAAGTACGAATATTTAGCTTATATTATAGGTATTTATAGGTATACATAGGTATACAGCAGGTATGTATCTATGTATGTATACATGTATATTGTACCCACATTGCTGTTTATAATGTGGACATTTTGATTAATTTGTATAAATAATACGTGAATGCTACTAAAATATACGAATTAATGACAAATGGTTAAATCATCTTCTTACAGAATCAAAATATACATGTATATATGTATATCACATAAAATATAAATTTTGTTTATTCGATATTTTATTAATAGTAGGTATATTAAAATGAAATGCACGACTCTGCAAAGTTAAATATTATTGCTAAAAATAACTGTTAAAGCTATGATATAAATTGGGAGAATTGAAATTTAAAATAAATTTGTAATAATTAAAAAATAAAATATAAATGACAAAAAAGTCTATGAATATAAAGAATAGAAAAAGATATAAGTAGAATATGAAAAAGTATGTATTTTTTAGTTGCAGTTACTAATGAGTTAGTGTTCAATGAACCATTCGACATCTTTAATGACTCCCTTTGGAGACATGAAGTCAAAATACCGTTAGCTCCTGTAAGTAGAAATACGTACTTAAGCCCTGATGGATAGTAAGACTTCTTATATAGTATTTCTATTATAGGATTATGAATTTTGTATTTATCACAATAAACAGCATACATTTGTAGCATCCGTTAAAAACGGAATGCTTAAAATCAAACCAGCGATTTTAGAAAACTACTATGGCGTAAATGCTACTACGTATGGAACACTAATACTTAGTGAGTGAGTGTAGTATGACTTTTTTAAATACAGGGTTTTCACACAATTGTATTACCCAACTAATTACCCAACTTTTATAGATTCTATATTTACACGATATTGATGCGTTTTATCTATATTTTGCCGATTGTTTGATACGTTACTTCAATTTATTTTTATTACATTTATTATTTATTATATTTGTTATAGTTGTAGTAGTACGAATCGAGCTGAATGCCAACGTAAAGCTACGTCATTCAGTATTTTACCGCCTGTTATATCTGCCAGATTAATTACGAAAAACAGTTTCTATTTCCAATACGGAAAAATTGAAATAAGAGCAAAGTTTCCTGAAGGTGATTGGTTATATCCAGGTAAATATTAATTCGATTACGTAGCATATCTGTTTATAAGGCATGAGATATCCATCATTTTATGCATCAATGAATAAATGTAATTGCATCTAAGCGTAATCATGTTTGTGTTGGAGTCAGGGGTAGACACTTCGAGCAATTTCATCGAATAGTTATTACGATACAAAACAAGCTGTAACTTAAAAACAAGATTACATCTAGTATATATTTATATGTACGTTTTTTCTTACTTTAATGTGCTCAATTCACACCTGCTGAACTTCCCACATACAATGGAATTCCCTGTACATAGATACGTATTTTGTGTTATTTACCTTTTTTTAAGTAAAACACATTGAAGTAAATGAACAAATTTAATTCAATTATTTACATAACATCTTAATTCGATTGATTCAACTTTGATTAATAATTTCATTAAATTCGCTCAATTCGAGTTTGATTAATAAACAAAGTAACCAAATATTGTATTTATTTACGACAGAAATGTGGCTTAAACCAAAGTACGATTATTACGGTCCCGATTATTCCAGTGGATGCATTACCCTCGGCCTTGCTCGTGGAAACGATAATTTAGTGAACACTGTCGATGGAAGCATCTACGATTCAAGAAGATTAGATTTTGGAGTCCGTATAGGTACAAATGTAAATATTACAAACCACATGGTTTCTCGGATTCGAGAGAATGGCCCAAGATGGACGCAGGATTTTCACGTTTACACAACAATTTGGAATTCCAAAGGATTTCAATTCTTCGTAGACGGTGAAGAAGTTGGTAAATTAAATCCTCCAACAGATGGTTGGATGTATGGGAATAATTTTACCAAAATGGCTCCTTTTGATCAAAAGGTATGCATTTACAAAACTACCTAATCTATTTTTAAGTATTTCGTAATGTACCTTCAATATATTTTTTTAAGTAATATATTATTATTAAACTAATTTCTTGAGAGTTTAACGATTTTTGCATGAAATTTATATGTATTTCTGTACAATGAAGTTACATAATATATAATTCATACTAATATACGCATGAGCAAGAAATGAAATCTGTAACAACTTATTATTGACAAATATGTTTACTATATGTACGTACTGTCTGACCAACGAAGCGAGATAGCACTCTCTCTTTCTCTCTCTCTCATAATATATATGTATTTTGACATTTATCGATTCAAAAGACGAAAGATTTCGTAAATGCTTTCGGTATAGGAGAGTCCAGAGTTCGGATCTGTTTATATGATCGCCACGACAAATACATATGTACTCGATATGTAATCGATAGTTTGCTTATTTCTTCAGTATTACATATATTTTTTAGTAATTAATCTTTTTCTATAAAATTATAAACAATCATTATTATCTTTATGATTACTAAAAATTTAATTACATATTAAATGATCGATCAGACATTTAACTTTGACGATTTTCATTGTACTCTAACAGTTTTATATCGTAATTGGTGTGGGAGTTGGCGGTATTCGCGTATTTCCTGATAAAACAACTAGCTCGGGACACACAAAACCGTGGAAAAACATTGGAGCCAAGGTAAATATTCTACGAATATTTATACGTAGCAGATACAAACGAGCGACAAGATCGTGTCGCACCTTCCCATATTTCTTCTGCCATAGACATATTTCTATAATCTTTATAATTATGTTACCATAAAATCGATCCATATTGCACCCCAATTATTAAGGATTCGATATCAAAATAATCCTTGGTATTCACCGTTACTATCTATCTACCGTTTGGATACCTATTAAAATAGCAAATATAATAATGGTCATCGCGTTGCCTCTCGGTCGCTGTATGGTTTATTTGAATTTTTGATTTATTTTCGGCCACTTTGTCAACCGCTTGTCTTGCCGCTCACAGTTCTCTGTATAAACATGGCCTTAGTGAGACTATCTTTAGAACGAATTATTGTACATACATACGTTTGAGATCACGATCTATAATGATCAATAACAAAATATTATTTTATTGTTGTAGCATTAATCAAGCACAATTAATTAACGACGATTGATATATTCTAGGCAATGTTGAACTTTTGGCATGCAAAAGATAAATGGTCACCAAGTTGGAGTGAAAAAACTACATTCGAAATCGATTATATTCGAGTATGGTCATCTTAAAAAAGATTATGTTATTAATAAAATTTATATAAAAGTGTATTAAAAAAATTAATTTGTAAACAAGTTGCAATTTTTGAAATTTAAATATAAAATAATTCTTTATAGCATAATACGTCAAATATGTTTTAGATATTAATGCTATTAGTAATAACACGACATTCGTTATTTTACTTTTTCTTATTTACAATCGCTGTACTCATAATCATAAACACGTACTAAATAAGTAAATGCGTAAACTTTATTTTTACTACTGAATGTATTATTTTCCTGTGACAAATACATATCACATTTTAAATATATATGTTTCATTTTATTTCGCCATTTCCTGTTTGCTTCGATAGAATGTTCTTAATGTTTTGGTTTCATTTTCTAATGAATAAAATAAATTTTATAATATAAAATGCGCATAATTTAAATTTACAAACAAATGTATTTCGTAAGCTGTTTTATTTTGTTGATCGCGCGTAGAAAGATACTAAAATTGTTTCAAGCGGTAGAAGAATTTCAAACTCGACTCTCTTCCTTAAAACCGGTTTTTCTTGAATAACATTGTAAAAAGATTAAATGAAGACATAGCAACTTCCACTCACTGTATAGTAGTAGTAACAGAGAGTTTGTTAATCGACAGTGGATTGATTTTCATATTTTTTATCTTACTAAAAATTTAACAAAGGTGAAAATATTTTCATTTTTGTCATATATCCTTACACATAATTAGTTTCTTCTATGATAAACTTTGTGTACTTAATTTTTAAATTTTCTAGAACATTTGAAAATACTATATTAAACGTGAAAAAAAAAACAGTATTTCTATATTAGACTGTATTTCAATTTATTAATATATTTCAAATGAAAAGATTAATTATTTTTCTCACCATAATTATAATTCATTTAATTTGTGGATTGGACAGCGACTTACATTTTCAATCAAAATATTCTAGTAAGTATAATAATTTAAGAACGTGATCCACTATTCTATATTAACTATATATGAAACATCTTTTTAAAATGTCAGATATAACAATAAATATAAGACTGAAATATACAGAAATTGTTTTCTAAATTTTATTAATACTTGCATGAGGATTAAAATGTGTATAAAGCAAATGTTATTGTTTAAAAATCACGTATATATCACATATATTATTTATAAAATATTTCTACGTCTTATTTATGTATATTTTCTATATTTCCAGGATATGAATTCATTTTACATAAATGTATAGCCAGTGCTCAATTAAATAGAAAACATCAAAGTAAAGACATATCAAATACTACTGCGAATAAACTTACTTAAAATTTATTACATAAAGCATATGTTTCAGTTGCAATGCAAGAGAAAAATTCGACTGCACGGCAGGTGCAATCTCCAACTGTTTCTCTAAATTTGAAATTGAATAATAGTCATCCATTTAACAATTCGAAAACAACCTATAACAATGTGGATATGGAACATTATCTTATAAAACGCATGGAAAATACACCTTTGAGGACTTTAAATATTAAAACTATGCAAAGTTTGTTACCTATATTTACAAAAAAAGATTTACTACCAGAATTGGAAAAGGTCACTAACAAGACTACAAATTCATCACACAGTATTATACTTATTAAATCAGCAACATAAAGATAATAATGTCGTGATTATAGCAATGATGTGATGTAAAATAATACACGTACAGTTAAAGATGAAGCAGTAAAATCGATTTTATGACTACCATGCCTATTGTTAATATTATTATTGAAAGACAAACGAAGTTATTATGCATATATAATTTATTTGTCTATTTACTAAAATAATGGTAACATCATAATTGTTTCATTTATTGTTGCGAAGGCATTGCTTGTTTAACTGCTTTGGGTAAGGTTTGTAATTCCACCTGCAAAAAGTAAAATTGGTTACCTGTATCTTTCATGTGTAGTTAAAAATAAAGAATCTAAATCATACCTTTGTGATTTTCATTGCCACTCCTTCTGGGAGATTTCTTTCTATATATTCTAAATATGTATCTGCAGTTGAGCCAGTTAAATTAAAGAGATCGACATATCTGTAATATGTTCTTCTTTCGTATTGAACTCTATGTTTCTTATGAACGTGAATAGACTTAAGTACTGTTAATCTTTCAAATATGGGTTTTCGTATTGCAACACTGTCAATTTTAGTATTATGTATTTATATCTTCTTGTATATATTTTTATAGATATTTAAAAATATTTTCACTGCATTAACTTACTGTCTGCCTACAGTTATGTCTAAATGACCTGCTGCCATAACAGCAAATTCTCCATAACTTCTAAGAACAGCAGGATCGTTTCCTCTGACTTCAATTTCTAGTTTCTTATATAGTTTATCAGGCTCAGACTAGAATGTAGTATTATTTAATGAATTATATAATTTATACTTGAAAATCTATTAACAAGTCCACTTAATAATATCCTAATCAAAATACATGTATTTTATAATAGTAACAAAATACGTGTTATAAACAATCACGATAAGTTTACAAGATTAAAATTTATAGTCTTTATTGCTATAAAAAAATATTTTAATTCACAATATAATTATTATAACTTGTTTTAAAACAATAAACAATGTATACGTAGAATATATAGGTATCAATTTTCTAAATTCAATATTCTTTTATTCTGATGATTGAATAATCTATTATTCTGAATAATAATATACTGACATATTCTTGCTTTTAAAGAAAATGATGCTTAGTGTATTCAAACATAATTATACAGAATACATTAGTAATTATTTATAATGCAATAATTTTGTTCACTACATATTCATATTAATTTAAAATCTATTAATATAAAATATATTATCAATATATTATTACATACCTCTGTGGGAAAGGATGAAGTATTTGATCCAACCGAAGCTTCTAAAAAAACCTCTGCATCCTCAGTTGAAGTTTTAGATTTCTGTATTGTTTCATTTATGATTTGAGGTTGCTGTGAAGTGATAGGTAAGTTTTCATTTAAAGTTACATTTGATGTATCACTTGAATCTCCACGCAAAACATTAGTTGAAAATAATGTGTTTCGTAATAATTTTGTATGTCCGATATCATAAGAACTTCTGTTTATACTTCGTAAAACAGAAAATACCTGGAAGATATTAGAGGTTATCTTTAACCTAAATACCCTTAGCATATACTTAAGTAAGTGTTTCTAAACGTTATACCTTTGAACGAAACATTTGTTACTTTTGTTTATGTAAATATGGAATAAATTAATTGAAATATTATCGTCTCAAATTTAATTAAATTTAAATATAAAAGTAGATGTCTTTTCTTTGATGTAAATACATCATAAATAGATAGCAAATTACACGTGCGTTAGTAAACAACTATCAACTCAGATGCACATATACATATGCATATACATATATGTGTATGTAGAGTACGGCTTTTGAATGAATTTTGTATACTCGCATTAGACTTTATTTACGTATATGCGCGCCTATTCTTTATTCAAAATCGTTTACTTCTAAATTGAAATAAATGCTTAATTTTATAAGATATTTTTACATAATATTGTGTTTACTTCAAAATACTAATCAATTAGCATTGTGAAAATAATACAGTATGTCGAACTGCTAACGATTTTGTTGTACATTTATAAAATAATAAACTGACCGTAATTTTTATGCATATGTTTTATACATACAAATTTCATAAAATTTTAGAGAAACTATATTTTAAAGAAGAACTTCCTATGTTTTAAAGGAACTCATTAAGTTACGAAAAAATCTTTTCCGTGACATGTCAATTCCTATTAAACAGAAAACGCCAAAGTTTAAAAACTTGTTTACTTAAGCTTTATATTTGTTTAACATGCTTAGTTAAAATATTTAACTTCTGAAAAATAGCAGATATTTAGTTAATCGCAAACTTGATGCAGTTGAGTATTTCTTAAATGTCTCAATAATGAAATCAAACGTATAATGCCTAAATATATTATTTTATAAAATTATAGGATAGATATATTTACTGCCTAATAAACTGTATAAGTATAGGATATTGTTGATATATATATACATATTATATATGTATCTAGTTACAGATCGTAATTAAAATTTTTAGATAAATATTTTATGTATGTATCAAACATAGTTAAGTGAATTGAATTTTTATGTAAATGCAGTTTTATTTGAAAAGTATAATATAAACTTATATTTTAGATTGTCTTAGAAGAGAAAGAAAACACCATTGCCTAAATTTTATGATAGCATATTAAACAAGTTTTATGTTTATTTAAAAATCATTACATCATATGTTTAATACTTACATTATTTCATTAACATCATTAATTTGGAAATAACAAAGTAGAAACTACAATAATAAAAGATGAAATGAATAGTAAACTTATAATATAAACTTAAACACTCTTTTAGTTTCAATTACATCTACAATTGTTTATTTTATGACCTTTTAAATATCTGCTTTACGAAAAAAAGTGTGAACTCCGCGTTTATAATCTAACAAAATTACAATATGGTACGAATGACCTAATAAATTTAATTCCTGATAATCAACATTATTATCAAGATCACAAATTTTAATATGAACTTTTGAACTGAGTTGAAGGAAAAGAACGTTGTGATTGAAAATTTGGATTTTGAAATTGCCAAGATCCTGCACTATTCCCATTTTGCCAACCACTACATGTAGGTTTCTTTTCATCACTCTGGGGAAGCCAACGTGATTCTCCAATATTTTTACTGTCATTATTTTGCCACTGAGATTTTGTAACAAAAGATAATCCTTTATTTTGCCAGTTATCTTTATTATATTTTGAGTTCCATGAATCTCCTCGCTGTTGTTCATTTTCCCTTATCCATGCATTTGATGTACCAGTACTTTCAAATTTATGCCATCTTTCTTTTAAATCTGAAATACCATCATCACCCCAAGGATCTTTTGCATCTTCTGGTAAGTCATTCAAATCTTCCTTGTCGCACTTCCAAGAATCTTTAACATTTAACGATTCCCATCTACCTTGGTTTTTATTGTCCATCCAAGATTCTGTGCAAGCAGACAAGCTATCTTTTCCGCGAATATTCCAGTTATCATTACTACTACCGGGCATAGATATTGGTGACCATTTATTATCAGAATTTAATGACCATGTTTCTTTTATCATAGGCTTTGTATACATCTGTTTGGAATTCCAAGTATTTCCACCATTATTCCAACTATCACTGCGCATAGGATCTTTAGCAGTTTCCCACTTCTCTTGATTAAAACTCTTACGACGTCTATCGTTACATGTAATTTGTTCCCAATTATCACTAGATGCCGGAATTTGTTCTCTTCGCCAGATATTTTGTTCGGGTATTTGCTCAACAGGTCGAACCCAAATATTTTGTTCAATGGCTCTTCTATTTGGTATATCCCAATCATCGGTAAATCTTGATGGTGACATTTGTCGTTTTTGAGGAGATTGCTGTCGTGATAATGTAGGACGTTCAAATACTAATTTATGTGACTCCATTCGTCTCATTGTCGATGTCTGCTGTCGTTCTTGTGGCATTCCCTGTCTCCTAGAAAGTAACATTTCCTGTCTGTTAGGAAGTATCATTCGATTAGGAGACGGAATTTGTCTTCTTAGTGGAGATATCGGTCGCTTCATCGACGATGATTGTCTTCTAGGAGATACAGTGGATCTTATGGGAGACATTTGTCGTGGTGATGCTTGATGTCTCAATGGTGACATTGGACGATTCATAGACATTTCTATCCGTCGTGGCGGTGATGGACGTCTCGGTGATGAAGGTTGTCTTAAGGGTGACATTCGTCTCGGTGACATTGGTCGTCGTAACGGAGATATTTGACGTCTTATGGGAGAACGTTGTCGATACACAGGCGACGTGGGACGTTGAAGAGGAGAAAAATGTCTTCTCGGAGGAGAACATGGACGTCTTGGAGGTGATAGCAATGGACGTTTAGGAGAAAGTCTTTTTGGAGGAGTTACACGATGTTTTGGTGAAGAAATTTGTCTTCTCACAGGTGAAATTGGTTTTTTCGTGTTTTCCATTTCATTCCTACGACTTCTTAGATCCCGATTCTGGCTTACCTCGACTCTGAACGATCTGGCAAATCTTTCTGGTGTTATACGGAAGGATGTTTCTTCTCTAGAGTTAATTGCATATGCCACTGGCATAATTGTATTTGGCTCTAAAGGTGATAAATTGTTATATTTTTTGTACATTGATTTTGGTTCAGGCTCGTCATTATCTAAGAATCTCTTATTTGGCATTGTGATTAGAATATCCTGGGAACCCATCTCTTGAACATAACGACCCTTCAAAAGAGGATCATCTTGTTTATTTTCCCTCTGACCGGGATTTATATTTCCTGGTGAAGCAATACGGTCCCAAACAGAACGTGGAAGTTGACTTTGAAGTTTATTTGTTTGTTCTAAAACAACATTTAACATATTTTGCAATTGTTTTGCAGTATTCATATCAACAGTCGGTGCTGGACCGCTTAACTTCTCTTTTGCTATTTCTAAAAGTGCTTGATGTTCTTTTAATGTTTGAGCAATATCAGTATCCAATCGATTATGAGATAACCTCTCCCTTAAATCAGTTTGTTCTTTAGGACGCTCTTGCATCTTTTTTTCATAGAATATATTCGTATATAATTGTGAATTTTCCGTGTCCCATTCCTTTTTCTTCTTTGATGCTTGATCTAATATTAAAAACAAAAAAATGTTATATAAGCATAGGTCGTTTAAGACTATGTAAAGCAAGAAAGACGAAACAGGAAGGGAACAGTAAAGAACTTGAAAATGCAGCTATACAATGCAGAAGCAGATCAGTAACATTTACCTTTAGTATATCTGCATACCGTTATAATAATCGTGGAATTTTTATACGAAGTCTAGCGATTTATTAATAGTAATTACAGATGAACAGAACAAAAGGAAATATT